ATTCGATCCATGGTAATGTGGATTGTTGAAAAGCTCAGAACAAGTTGTGAATTGCACTTAATCGTTTATCGATATGCGTGTGATTTTTGATAAAATACATGGACGTCACTCTACTACTTACATATCACTAAGTAGGTATTTGAGTTCTGGTAAATATTGTGAAGCTGGTTATCTGAAAGTGATACTGGATTCATATTACGTAGATTATTGAGTAAAAGTATAATATCCTGACGACCTTGAGTTGACCAATCAGAATTAAGATAACTCTTCGTGTGTTTTGCGTGAAACTTCAAGTGCAGTGATATATAACTTGTGTGTTATTAGTAACTAGATGAAAATTGACAATATTTGGTTCTTAAAATGCTTGAAATTAATGAAAATCTCTTCTATGCAGTAGAAATGTAAATTTAAGATGATAAGTAAGCTAAATGACAAAACATACCTGCTCATAAGGGAAATCGTACTTTAAAGTGCCTAATGTGTTTCAATGAAGCTAGATAATATTCTCCCCTTCTATCTCTTCCTCTAAATCTCAGCCCTATGTTTCTTAAGTTTGTAAACAGAAGGGTGACAAAACATAACATTGTAACTGATGTCAGTTCTTAATGAAAACCCCAACTCTAATTTGTAAGTCAAATTCAAAACACCAACCTAACACTTGATGCCTAACCCCAACGTTTTCGCATCATATCTAGTGTGAGTTGATGGCGAAAACTCTATAGGGTGATAACTCAATTCAGAATACTAGCTCGATTACTAATATGTAAACTTAACGTTTTTCCTTTACTACAAAAATAATTTAGCACGTGAGTGCTAATTGTTCAGATCAAAGATGTTCCAATGTTATTTTATTGTTAATTATTTTGTAACTAGGGGCGCTTCCTGATTGGCTGATAAGTCGTCCAAGATCGTCACTATGGTCTAATTTTACTGATTAGTCGAATTGTACTTGTACTTTTTTATTTTCAGAATGGGGATTTGTGAAGGTTGTAGTAACTTTGATAATTAAATTCACTGGTCGACCTAAGCAAGATCACCACTGAAAACCTGGAAGCACTGGACAGTCGTTTCTTCCCAGTATGGGACTGCCCAGCAATGCGCATCCACAATCTCTCACGTGGGACTCGAACCCAGGACCTACGATCGCGTTCGCCAACGCTTAACATCTTGACCACTGATTTTACGTCCAATAATGTTTGATAAATAATGTCTTCGTCTAAATAACGAAACAGAAATATTTTTTGTTAGTGGCAAAGAATCATTGAGTTCATGTTATTGAAATTTCGTACAAAATTATTTTTGTAATCGAAATTAAAATTAGAAAGTTGGAAAAAGTGTAAGCCAATGGTTTTAGGTACATTGGGTAAATGGTATTATATTCACCTTGAATTAATTAGGTCTCGAACTTCATTTCACATAAGATATCGTTGAGTCATAATACTGAAAAGTTTCATAATGCAGTGAAACGCCCTGAATTTCCATGTATATCAGCTTTGTTTAAACTTAGATGTATGAGAAAATGGAGTTACTTGTAGGAGTAAGTGTAAGTTGTACACATAACTTTTAAGTGAGTTCCAATCTATAAATAAAACTGTGAAAGGAAGGGAGTAATTACAATGAACTATAAATTTATGCAGTACATTATGTATTCACGACAGCTTTCTGTAGGAACTTATAAAGTTCCAAATATCGATTTACTAATCCATGTCTCATTGTTTATGGATAGAAATTGTCGAATCCCAGAACGTAACGTTTTTGAACCATGTATTAAATTTAAGAGTACAGTTATTTATTTATTTGAACTCATAAATATTGGTACAAAGGGGCACCAAATACATATACACCACACAATAACATGAAGCTGTGAAGAGATAGGGAATGTAAAGTGCGTATAAGAAAAAGGAGAACAATAACAAACAGAAATCGGTGTATAAGAGTGAAGTAGTAATAATAGTGTGAGAGGCAGTTCAGTGAAGAAGAAAACAATAGAAAGAATCCTTTCAGTCAAAGAAGTTACGTTCATTTCTATGAAGAAAGTAAAAGAAAGTTACAATAGGATCGCCAACGTGGCTTTTATTTTGAACCATGTCTGATAACGTCTCTAGACACTGTGTCGCCCCATCTCTAACATCCCAACCAAGAAGTCGCGAAGGACCAACAGAAGCTAGTCCTGTACAGCTCTCTTCCGTACCACGAAACCATGTCATATACTGACCAACTTTCCGCTTTTTCCAGCCAGTCCCAGCGTCGGCAAATAATGCACGACGTGGGGATCTCTAGGACGACATTCTTAGAACATGTCCAAGCCACGGAATTCGATGTTTCAAGTGGGTGACGCCATTTGGATTACCGTCACTGGGCCCGAACACACGATGCCGAACATCCGCATTACTAACATGGTGTTGCCACTGGATGACAGCAATCCTTTGGAAACAGCGATAATCAAACACTGTGAGTCGTCTAACATCCTCAGCTCGGAGAGGCTGACTGTCTGACTGAACTGATAACATGTTAATATTCTATTTATTGCCTATTGAATAATAAAATCTTTTAAATTTTGGTAATTTGTAATAAAGTCTCATATGAACAAAATGGAACTCTTGAATTCCAGCATCAAACGTAAGGAAATACAATAGGTAAGATCTAAATGCATAAGAAAAATTGTATCGGATGATTATGTATATATATGTTTTCGGGAATCGCTTGCACGCCTATATTTCTAACCTATGAAAATATTGATTTGTATAATTTCTCTTAAGTAAAACATCTGTTTATTTCCAAGCTTATTTTCATCCGTAACCATACAGAATTGTTTGCTGATTCAAGAATCTATCAGAAATCTGCTCTCATGAAACTCCTCTCATAAAACTAGTAACTAATAAACATAAATTTGATTTTGATGGAGTTTTGTTCTCTGAGCTGGATGGTTTGGTCGTGGAGCTTTCATCGTCCTTCTGAACGACATCATCAGAACAGACTTCGGGTAGAAGTGAAGTGTTTGAATTTCTCCACATGTGATTCACAGCTTGTCCTGTGCACCTTGAATAATGTTCGAACTACGAAGTTTTTAAAGATATTTAACTTGTAATATAGAACAATTTTTACTTAGAAAGTTAGACGAATATTTTCGAAATTTTACTACAAATCAATGTTTAGAATAAAGTTAAAGTTTGAAGATTGAACTTGCATCATCTAGAGTTTGTATAAATTTGTGAATTAACAATACTTGAAAAATGCTAGAAATGTTTCTATTCTCTTCCAGAACTCGATCTTCTAATAATCTTTCCTTGAATCAAAACTTTAAGCTTTGTTGTGTAAATTTTGGGATCTGTAGAAATGTGTAAATTTAAGTTTAACTGATCCAACATATTTTACCTTAAAAAGAGTATTCTGAACCTATGTATTTCATACTGGTATGGTTGAATATTTGAGCTTCTCGTTGACATATATATATGACCAAGATACACCTTTTCGTATTAGAAAGTGTAACACATTATAACACTGTTAGGACTTGATAATTTTGAATAAATTGAACAGTGAGTAGATTGTTATAAATAAATTATATATTTGTGATATCCCAATGAGTAGAAAAATTAGATTTTCTACTCATTGGGATATCACAAATATATAATTTATTTACTGTTAGGACTTGATTATATCTTAAGTCTGTTGTTTGACATAAATTGGAAATCAACATTATTGCTTATATGATATACTTCTTCATCATTCAACACCCTAAATGATCGGACTTTTGTTATCCACGAAGTTGTAAGTTGTTTTGTATCCAGGACTTTGGACCATTTTTCTTACTTTTTTTATAAAAAAACTGAGGAAGTGCTGTATATTAAAGTGAAATTTACACTAAAGTTTTCACTTTAAGCATTTGGAGTTATTCCCAACTATCTTCTATAAATATAGTAGTATAACACAAACTGATAAATCATATGAAAACGACAATTAAAGTGAAAGTTAAGACTCCCAATTAGAACTTTATGATAAATTACGCTCTTATATATACAACAATCTAACATAGAATAAGTGGAAAATTAACTGATAAAACATAATGAGTAGGGGAGAATTTACCGATGACCTCAACTATATAAATATATTACAAATGTTTAGTTTAGAAAGGATTGCCCAGGACAGGGTTGAATGGAGAATACTTGCGAGTGACCTATACTCCTCAACGGGGGGTAACAGGCGTAAGTAAGTAAGTTTAGTTTGGAATTGATCTTCAAGAAAATTTTAAATTATCAAAGAAAAAAAACAAACTTGGTATTAATCCATAGTGTTTACTATTGTTTATTCATCACATAAATGAGTTATAACAATAACCCTCATTCTGATAATTATCATATACTCACTAGTGACTGGCTCCATGAGGTATTTCCTGGAGTTCTAGTGAGAAGCAGTAACCAGTGGAGTTCAACTAGGTCTATTGGGAGATATCAACTCACTGAAGTTAAACATTAACACCGTTGGATGCTGACTCAGTGGTCTATCGGTTAAGTGTTCTGGCGCGATACTGGTAGGTCCTGGATTCGAGTCTCGCGAGGCGGGATCGTGGATGCGCACTGCTGAGGAGTCCGACAATGGAATGAAACGGCCGTCCAGGTTTTCGATGGTGGTCTAGCTTCAATTGACTCATAATTTCAACTATATATAAAATTACTAAAATCTCCTCAAAACCCCCTTCTGATAATAATAATATAAGAGAATAATTTAATAATAGTCATGTCACTAATGCTTGGTATTTAGGTTGTTCATCATCAAAGAATAAAAGAAAAAGTGTAATTTGTGACAAGTTCATCTTTAAATAATTTTAAATATGTCACCATTTAATAATGTGATAAATATAACAAATGATGTAAACATTAAATTAATAGTATACAGATACTAAGAATCATAAACGATATTCTATTCAATTATTCATTAGTGAATAATGTCAAGAAAGTAGAACTCGATGATTTCAATTCTGTTTTCAATTAACTTAAAGTATTTCAATAAAGAGTAGCATTCAAGATATATAACTGTTGAAATATTGGTGAAATTCTATCATCATCATCATCATCATCATCATCATCATCATCATCATCATCATCATCATCATCATCATCATCATCATCATCATCATCATCATCATCATCATCATCATCATCATCATCATCATCATCATCATCATCATCATCATCATCATCATCATCATCATCATCATCATCATCATCATCATCATCATCATCATCATCATCATCATCATCATCATCATCATCATCATCATCATCATCATCATCATCATCATTTATAGGGATAATGAATCTCAATGATGCACGAATAATAAAGTGTTGTTCTTTGACGATATATCAATGTATGATTTAATAATTTGGTTTAGTTTATCATGCTTTCTGAAATCTTGACACATGCTTGACTTAATATGCAGTCATATATTTTCATAATTGAAAGCATGAGTCAATTGAAGCTAGACCACCATTGAAAACCTGAAAGCACTGGACGGCCGTTTCGTCCTATTGTGGGACTCCTCAGCAGTGCGCATTTCGCCTCGCGAGATTCGAAACGACCGTCCAGTGTTTCGAGGTTTTCCTTGGTTGTGTAACTTCAACTGACTCATGCTTTCAACTATGAAAATACTAAAATCTTCACAAAAACTCCTTCTGAGTTATATATTTTCTTGGAATATCGTATAAACGGTGAAAGTACAGTGACTGGAGGAAATTTCAAAAATATGTGCCGAAACAGATAAAGTAGTCTCTTTTTTAAAACAATCCAATTTGATTAATGAAAATTACTTTATAAGCCCACTATTAGGTCAACCAAAACTATTATTGAATAAGACATTCACAGTCGATGAGTTACTCTCTTTCTCCATCCATACATATATAATCAGTAGAATAAAAATAGGCTAATAAATAAGTTTCTCATTTCCCTCATTAAATTTACTACTTATAAAGTGATATTCTGTAAGATCAAGTCAAATTAAAAGCTTTACAAACATTTATCCCATTTCGGTGATAGATTTAAATATCATATAGTTGGATTAGTTCAATGTTCGATAGTGGATGATCTGACTACAATGCCAGTAACTAATTTCAATCCATTTTTATGAAGAAAATATTCAACATCATTATTGGTGATACTAGAGAAGGATAAAAATTCGAAAACTTTCCAAAAAGGACACAAATAATGAACCCTATCGTAAAGATTTTTAGACAGAATTATTTACTTATTTGCATCATTATGTTAAATATATTGAGAATTGAGAATTGAACTACTGGTAAGTAGGCAAATATTTACTCATAGTTGAAAGCATGAGTCAATTGAAGCTAGACCACCATCGAAAACCTGGACGGCCGTTTCATTCCATTGTCGGACTTCTCAGCAGTGCGCATCCACGATCCCGCCTCGCGAGACTCGAATCCAGGACCTACCAGTATCGCGCCAGAACACTTAACCGATAGACCACTGAGTCAGCATCCAACGGTGTTAATGTTTAACTTCAACCAATCCATGAAGTTTGAGCAACCATTCACCAATGTCTTCAGTGAGTTGATATCTCCCAACAGACCTAGTTTGAACTTCACGGCTTTTCACTAGAACTCATGAATTTGCCTCTCAAAGTCAGTCACTAGTGATCATATGATTATTATTATCAGAAGGGGTTTTACTGTGGAGATTTAGTATTTTCATAGTTGAAAGCATGAGTCAACTGAAGCTAGACCATTATGGAAGACCTGGAAGCACTAAACGGCCGTTTCATCCTATTGTGGGACTCCTCAGCAATGCGTATCCACGACTCGAAACGACCGTCCAGTGTTTCCAGGTTTTCCATAATGGTCTAGCTTCAGTTGAATCATGCTTTCAACTATGAAAATACTAAATCTCCACAAAAAACCCGTTCTGATAAATATTTATTTACAAATAAATGTAATGCAAACACACAATGCCTCCCAGTATGGAATTATCAAGCACCTACAATAAGATAGTAAGTTTAAGTAAATTTCAGAAACGCAAGTAACGAGTAAAGCTTGTTATAGGAAAATTTCAACTGGAAAGGAAAAAGTAGTTTAAGTTTACAATCATAATTCTTATTTTATAATACTACATTGTGCTGCGACATTGATTACATAATAGGTAACTTAAGTAAATGTGAATGAATTCAATTAAATACAGGAAATTGAAAATTAAATTGAAAAAGTGTTTAATTAACTATGATATTTGCTTGTTAGGAGAATCTGTTGGTGAGATTGAACTCTAAAGATTACTTAAAACATATCCATAATATCAAAATTCTGTCTCACTGCTGATCGAACATTTGTCAGACAGTGTCAAGTAGACAGGAACAAAGATTCTGACCATGTACATTAATCCAACGAAAAAGAACAACTCCGTGCATTTGTGAATGTTCTACTATCAAGATTCTGAATCGAATTATTGTATATATCTAGTATAAAGCTTAATGATACATTGCAAAACAGGTATCATTCTATAATGATATACATTGTACCTGAAAATAAAGCACACCTAATTCAAAATTTAAAAAAAAAAACGATTTTATGGCATTGATTATAAATTAAAAATAAACTAAACAGTTATCCTTATCAAATATAATCCATTGGAATGTAAGTTTATAATTGATACTTCTTTAAAAGAATGAATACAATGATAGAACTCATTGATGATATAATATGGATGTGATCATATGATCCATGATTGCAAACTCTTATCCCTACATTCTCATAGATCTAATTATCTACATAATAACAATCAAGTATTATTATTACAGTTATAATATAACTAATGTATCGAAAATTTTTATGTTCGTAGAAATGATTGATTTTTGATTTTCAATTCATAAGTATAACAGATCCACAACTGGAACTTTGATTGTTTTGTTTTTTAAAACTTTTTGATGACTATTGTTAAAATAGATATATTGTTAGTTCATAATTGTGGTGCCATCTGATGAGATAGTTATTAAGAACAATTGTTTTTCAAGGTATTCATTATTTTATTTTTGAATATTCCAGTTGGATCTTTGAATATAGATATTATTTTCGGCAAAAAACGATGTCACGAAACTATTCCATTTCATACTTCAATAACCTTATCTTGATTATCTAACAAATAATTTTAGATAACTCTTACTGGATGGTTGTATGAAGTTGAAAAGAAACTTCACTTCATCTAGGTATTATATTAGTTAGCGTTTATCAATAAGGTATATCTACAAGGATAAGTGAGCTGATGCTCTTGATGCGATTCAAACGTGTCTCACACAGTTTCTTAGTATAATACATTCTCATTAAACTATTTAGGCTACTATGGACTGTTATGATTTTATGTCCGGCTTTTCGTCACGTGATTTACTCACCAATCGAAGTACTACTTATAAAATCTTAGCACTACGCCAAAACAATGACGTTTGACCGGTATGGGCAGCCTAGTGTCTTTATTAGTCCTTTATCCACATAGCCCTTCCATTTGAATTCAGAATACCAGTAACAGCTTCTGTTATGTGAATCATTTATTTCAAACATACTCTGCTTATATACCAGAAAGACGGACCACATCACACCATAAAATAGAAAATAATATTTGTACAAAATCCAGCCAAATGTGGCTGTTAACGTGGGAGTCAGTAATCAATAAACTGAATATAATTTAGGGACAGTAAATCGTATAATAATAATTTATAAGTCAAAATAAAGCTTATAGTAAGATGAATATATATAAATTAAATATAATCACTGAATAGTTATACAATAACAATATATATAGGAAAATCGTCCATTAATAGGTCCCGGAAGTTACCCGTACTTATATCTTCGCTAGGATATAACACTGACCTGTCATAGGACAGTTATTTACATTGATTGATCACTGTGTATTGGCCACATCGCAAATCGGTTGATAGAACTTGAGGGAAACTAAAAGAATGAATAAACATGATGCTAGTGACTAATTAGTGATCAATCAATTGCGAACTGTTTCTCTTTTCTTATCTTATATTTTTTGACGATTGATAACTCATCAAAGTTAATTTTCAAATCATTTTATATCATTGAGTATTGTCGTTTTCATAGTTAAAAGCGTGCGTCAATTGAAGCTAGACCACCATGGAAAACCTGGAAGCACTGGACGGCCGTTTCGTCCTATTATGGGACTCGTAAGCAGTGCACATCCACGATCCCGCCTCGCGAGATTCGAATCCAGGACCTATCAGTCTCGCGCGCGAGCACTTAACCGATAGACCACTGAGCCGGCACTCAACGGTGTTAAGGTCTAACTTCAACCAATCCACGAAGTTTGAGCAACCATTCACCAATTGTCTTCAGTGAGTTGATATCTCATGAAAATACTAAATCTCCACAAAAACCCCCTTCTGATAATATTGTTGTTTTGATGAAGTTCTCAAATAGAATATCAGATTTTCTTTAACTTATAGGAAATCTTTAGATAGTAAATAAATAAGTGACAAATAAATATCAACATTGTATGTGGAGATTTTCTACATCAAGAACTGTATAATAGTTTGTTTCTTAAATGGATTTTTTTAACTTGCTCAAGTCAATGTTAGAAATTGATTGTTTAAAGTGTTAAGAAAACTCATTGAATAATGGTGATCAATATTTTGAAGGTTCTCATACCTTTTAATGATCCAAATAATAGTGATACAGTAGATGGACCTTTAGTTAAACGTCAGGATGTCACAGTCAGATATTCATTTTTCAATTCACATTGTAAAATTTGACTGTTGTTTCCTTTTATATTCTTCTAACATGGTCATACGACTGATGTTTAGATGAGTTTTCTGGTGTTCTTAATTCATAGGCGATATTCGTAGAGTCTATCAAATTGAAATGTAAACGGGAATTCAATAAAGACACTAGTGGAAGATTCATAACGTTATAAGTTGACTGAAATCAAAAACAGAAAACATAATGTATACCAATCATATTTGACATGAGACAAGAAGTTGCTAAATTCAATCTCACATGAAGGTTTGAGTATGTACCGGTGAAAAGTTCCAAATCAGTAGAAAACATTTTCGATCATTTTATATTTCCTTCTAACAGGTAACCCTTATTTATACAAGTAATTTCGATGGAATACAAGATCTCAGCAGGAATTCAATTTAATAAATACTTTTAATTTATAATTATATTATCAGAAGAGGGTTTTGTGGAGATTTAGTATTTTCATAGTTGAAAGCTGAGGAGTCCCACAATAGGACGAAACGGCCGTCCAGTGCTTCCAGGTTTTCCCTGGTAGTCTAGCTTCAATTGACTCACGCTTTCAACTATTATAAATATATCTTTAAAAGATTCTTGTAAATAACGTTTCAGCTGACCATTGAGGGACGTCTTTGTATATTCTTACTATTTTCCAATATTCTACTGATTATTGAAACTATTGTCAATTGTTAATTTCTATTTTTTTTCTTATAATTCTGATAGTAACATAATCAAGTGGACGAAACGATCATCTCTGATTCCAGTGCTAGCCGAAATCCATCTATTCTGAATAGTTTTTGACAAAAGGGCTATATAAAGGAAACACTCATATAATGTACATATGCCGGTAAAAAACGGTCACAATTCATTCTTGATTATCAATAATGAGATGATTCACACTCTTACTAATAATGATATGTATATTTTACTTTTCAAAAAGTTGATGTCTATCTGAACTCAGTAGATAAGTTGAATAACGAGTCGAACATTTAAAGGGAAGGGTATTAGATTTTATTTTTAATGTGGATCATGAAAATAAATCTAGCTGACGAGTCCTTAATAAGACAAAATGAGCGTTCTGTATTCAATTGCTAGCTGTTATCTGTCTTTCATTACAAAGGTTTCAATTTTTTTAAAATTCCAAATGAATTAAGCATTGGTAAATGATTAATGGTAATGAAAACCATAAGGTATATTTTTTCCTTTCACAATAAGCAAAAACTTGAATATCTATCGTTTCACAACTTAATGCATGTCAAGTCGTACAATACAATAATTCACCGTTTTTTCAGATTAACCAAAGTTTAAACAGAGTACTAAACATAGTATTGTTTGTTTGAATCTTCCCATCGATTTGTTAGGACTGCAACTGGTCAGTCTCTAATTGGCATATGTGCATACTGTGCGTATTGTCTCGATATACCTTAATTCACAAGCATGGTTAGCAGAGATGGATAGTGGCTAGCAGTGGAATCCAGGACGCGCGTTTCGTCCTATTT